AGTAGAGGAAATTGTGAAAGTTGATGTTAGTGATTATAAATAGTAAAGTGCAGTATAATTGAATTGTGAATTACTGAGAAAATAAAGGACATTAGATAGAATCTTTATAACGAAAGAAACTGCAAATTAAGTTGGCGAGTTTTTATCTAACAATCCAGAGATCGTACCCGAAGGATCTAGAAAATAATCGAGGTTGATTTAGTAAAATCGTAACAATATCTTATCTCTAATTTATCGATTGACAAACTAAAGCATGACAGTTATTTGTTACCGCTAAAAATTTTCATTAACAGAATTTGAATCTATAAAAATCGTAACTAAAAATTAAAAATTAGCAAAACGATCGCGTCGAACTTGAATATTTTTGAGTTATGAGAATTGTGGGATAGATTTTTGAAAATATTTCAAAATAAACTTTGTATATTAAACGAACTTACTATTTCCTCTTCATTATAATTTGGCAAAGTAAGGTAAGTTCAAGTTCTCCACTGTATAATACCTTTGTGTTTGGAGTTCCGCCGAAAATCCCTTCTGCGGTTACAAAGCACTAATTATATACATATGTTAAATAAATAAATTATCATGTTAAATGATTAAAACAGTTCAATTTAATGTCGACCACTTATTTTTGGTTGCAGCAAAGTAGACTAAAATAAACTAATAAACCGTATCAGCTTTTTCACATAGTAAATATTTCATATGTTTTTATTCGCTTTCCTCAAATTATCCCATTCGACTGGATGCATTTTCTTTTTATGTGCATGCATGTTCGCATTGGAATTAAAAGTGCGAGTACAGAATTGACAATTGTAGAGTATTTCCCCAGTATGTTGAGTCATATGCTCCTGAAAATATGGTATGATACGTACGTGCTTATTAGGTATTATGAACTGAATGTGAATGCTTATGTATTTACCCGTAAGTAAAGGGCTCGCTTGAAGTTTTTTTTGCAAACTTCACAAGTGAATACCACATTTGAGTGAACTCGGCCTTTATGTACTGTCAGCGAATATTTGTTTTTATAGACTCCACCACAAATCTCACAAGTAACTGCTTTCTCTTGATTAGTATGAGCTCTACGAATGTGACGCCGAAGATAATCCTCATCTTTCAGCCAAAGATTGCAATTTTCTATCGGACATTTTGCTTTTGGGGCACCGTCTTCGAAATGTGCTCGTACATGTTTCTCGAATGAAGCCTTATCACGTATTTCCTTAGCACAAACATGACAAACATTGGGAGCCCGCCGATGTCGCGCACATATGTGTACTTTCAAAAGTTCATTGGTAGCAAAACGACTGTTGGGACATTGGTCACATGCGAAAGCTCGTTCTTCCATGGGCACGTGTGAGTTTCTATGGATTTCTAATTTCTCTTGCCGAGAGAATTTTTTTGGGCATTGATCACAACAAAAGTTGAGTTCTTCTTCTGGTGTATGTACAGTAATCATGTGACGAGATAGTGTCGACTGCTCTGCAAAAACTTTTTGGCACTCTTTGCATCTAATAAAACATAATGGTATAAAATACAAGTTAACCCTATATATATTCATATGGTCCTACTTAAAGAATTCTGGATTATCATGCCTGTAGGCATGGTGTATAATGTCCTGACGAAGAAACAGCTTTTTATTGCAGCACCTTATGTATGGTTTAACTTTCGCGTGCTCTTTGCGGAAATGTTTTGCCACAGATGAATAGTCTTCGCCGATAAATGTGCACAACTCGCAAATCATGGGTATATATTTTTTTACCATCGCATCATCTTCCAATTTCGACTTGACAACATACCGGTGCCTCAACTTAATTGTGCGTTCTTCTTTATGAATTTTATGTGCCACTTTTTTGGCAACTTTACTCTTCTTACATATCCCGCGACCTCTTATTGTTTTACCTAAAAGAGTTAGTTTTTTATAAAAATAACTTTAATTTAATAGCTAGTATACCTTTCTCTATCAGCGATGGAATTATTTCATCTCTGGATTCATCATTACTGCAAATGGCGTCATTTAGTGTTTTGTTAGAGTCCAACTCACAAAATGGATTAGCCAATTCATTATCAGCATGTGTGGCCTCATTACTTGTGCAACAAGGCATCTCTACTTCCCAAAATTCATTCACAATTTGATTTGAATGGTCAAGAGATTTATCACCCAATGGACATGCTTCTTCTGTCAGTTCTTCTTTGGGACTTAGATCGTGATCAAGAGATTCAATGAAATCAAATTCTGCTGAAGGTTCAATTTTCATCTTACTATTGAGGTTGGTATTTGCATCTTTCACCGACAAATAAAATTGATGAAAATCGTCTACTTTTGACCAACATGCGGAGCAAATCACTGCCGATATGTTCTCCTCCGGAATTGGCTATTGTAATACGAGTATGCAGAATCAATTATTATTATGAAGGTGCGTTTACTAGGTTTTATATGCTTTATAAATGAGAATTATTGTTTTATGGCCTGGTTGTTGTTGTTGTAGCGGCTTAGTTCTTAGTTATATTGTGTGCTTTTGTCTAAATAAAATTACCTTGAACCAAAAGTGTATCCCAATTATATCAGCAATTCCCAATTTTATTTCATTTTCGTCAAATATGTTTAAACAGCTGTTAGCATATTTACAACAAAGTATGCACAACATTGCAAAATTTTGGATGTAATGAAATGCAGGTACAACGATAATTATAAAATAAATTTCTAAAGTAAACAAATTGATGAAAACAACCAGGGATGTGATCAAATTGATGACAATGAAAATGAAAGTCGATATGAAATTCTGTAACCGATTTATAAGTTCTGTTCGATAACGCATAATGCCCGAAATATTTGCACCGAGAGAGCGCAATTTTGATATTTCGCTAATTTTCATTGACACTTTAAAAGTTCCCAAAATGTTTTTAGACTGTATTTTCGATACTAACGTATTAACTCCACCGTAATATTATAACTTGGTAGCCGTTGATCACCTAGACCCTGGTTAGACACACATGACCCTGTTATCTAACGGAATTTTTTTAATAATAAAAATATCTCTTAATCTGTGTGACGGGTTTATTGAGAAAACCCTCCACATCTTTTTTAGCCTAATAAGGATTTCGCCGGGAAGTTCTAGAGTGTGAGAGTAGTTTTTCAAATTAGTATTTTGAATCAAAAATGTTATTGCGACAGTATTGACATGATACACATTCACTTAAGTATAAGCTAATACGTAACAATAATGTCTTAATGTATATACCAAACTAGAGCATAGATTAAAATAGTTTGTATTTTGTGCTGTCTAAGTGGTCACTATTTTCTGCAACTTTTATTTTTTTCTCTCCAATTATCCCATTCGACTGGATGCATTTTCTTTTTATGCGCATGCATGTTGGCTTTGGAATTAAAAGTGCGAGTACAGAATTGACAATTATAGAGTATTTCTCCAGTATGTTGAGTCATATGCTCCTGAAAATTTAGTATGATACGTACGTGCTTATTAGGTAATATGATCTGAATGTGAATGCTTATGTATTTACCCGTAAGTAAATGGCTCGCTTGAAGGTTTTTTTGCAAACTTCACAAGTGAATACCACATTTGAATGAACTCGGCCTTTGTGTACTGTCAGCGAATATTTGTTTTTATAGACTCCACCGCAAATCTCACAAGTAACTGCTTTCTCTTGATTAGTATGAGCTCTACGAATGTGACGCCGAAGATAATCCTCATCTTTCAGCCAAAGATTGCAATTTTCTATCGGACATTTTGCTTTTGGGGCACCGTCTTCGAAATGTGCTCGTACATGTTTCTCGAATGAAGCTTTATCACGTATGACCTTAGCACAAACATGGCAAACATTGGGTGCACGCCGATGTCGCATGCATATGTGAACTTTCAAGAGATCATTACTGGCAAAACGACTGTTGGGACATTGATCACATACGAATGGCCTTTCTTCTCTTGGTAGATGTGAGTTTTTATGCAGTTCCAGTTTCTCTTGCTTGGAGAACTTTTTAGAGCATTGATCGCAATGGAAATTAAGTTTGTCTTCCGGTGTATGTGCGGTAATCATGTGACGAGTTAGTGTTGACTGCTCGGAAAATACTTTTTGGCACTCTTTGCACCTATTTAAATAATAATAGTATACATATACAAATCAACAAAAAAATTTATTGTATATTGACGTACTTAAAGAATTCTGGATTATCATGCCTATAAGCATGATGTACGATATCTTGACGATGAAACAGCTTTTTATTGCAGCACCTTACGTAGGGATTAACATTTGGGTGATCTGTTCGAAAATGTTTTGTCACAGACGAATAGTCTTCGCTGATAAAAGGACACAATTCGCAATTCATGGGAATATATTTTTTCACCATAGCATCGTCTTCTAATTTCGATTTTACGCCAGATCGTTCCTTCAATTTTTTAGTGTTATCCTCTTTACGAATCTTATGTTTTACGTTTTTAGACTCTTTGCTCTTCCTACATAACGTGCCTCTTCTTAATATTTTTTCTACAAATAAAAATTCATTGTTACATCGTTTGGGTTACTTTTAAGCAAGCCTACCTGTTTTCTTTAGCGTTGTTGTTGTTTTTCTTTGTTTTTTGCAAATTACCTCATCTAGGGTTTCATTATCATCCAGCTCACGAATTGGGTTGATCGATTTACTATTAACATCTGTGCCTTCGTTTCTTATGGAACAGGGCATCTCTAGCTCACAAAATTCTTTCAAAATTTGATTTGAGTGGTCCAGAGATTTATCAGCCAATGGATATGCTTTTTCTGTCAGTTCTTTTTTGGGGCTTAGGTCGGGATCAAGCAATTCATTGAAATCAAATTCAGCAAAAGGCTCATTTTTCACTTTACTATTGAGGGTGTTATGCGCTTCTTCCACCGACAAATAAAATTGATGAAAATCGTCTACTTTTGACCAACATGCGGAGCAAATCACTGCCGATATGTTCTCCTCCGGAATTGGCTATTGTAATATGAGTATGCAGAATCAATTATTATTATGAAGGTGCGTTTACTAGGCTTAAAGTTTTATTTGCTTTTTAAATGAAAATTATTGTTTTTTGGCCTGGTTTTTGTGGTTGTAGCGGCTTAGTTCTTGGTTGTATTGTGTGCTTTTGTCTAAATGAAATTACCTTGAACCAAAAGTGTCTACCAATTATATCAGCAATTCCCAATTTTATTTCATTTTCGTCAAATATGTTTAAACAGCTGTCAGCATATTTACAACAAAGTATGCACAACATTGCAAAATTTTGGATGTAATGAAATGTAAGTACAACGATAATTATAAATTAAATTTCCAGAGTAAACAAATTGATGACAACAACAAGGGATGTGATCATGTTGATGTCAATGAAAATGAAAGTCGATAAGAAAATCTGGAATCGATTTATAAGATCTGTTCTTTGGATTGGGGCGTGTTCGGCGATATACAATAAAAAGCCAGTAATATTTGCACCGAGGGAGCGCAATTTTGATATTTCGCTACTAACTTATTTTTATTGACACTCTGAATGATCCCAGGTAGTCTTTCTTTTTTGTGGATTGTATTTTCGGTACTTACGCATTAACGCCACCGCAGCATTAACTTTGTAGCCTTTGATCACCTGGACCCTGGTTTGGCCAACACACCCCTCGCATAGTACCCTGTGATGACTATTTTCTTGAGAAAACCCTCTAATCTTCTTTAGCCGAATAAGGACTTCGCCGCGAAATTTTAGAAGAGTAGTTTTCCAAATTAATATTTTAAATCAAGAATATCGGTGCGGCAGTTGACAGTATTGATATGATACACAATTACTTGAGTATAAATTAATATGTAAAAATAAAATCATAGTGATTATACCAAAATAGAGCATAGATTAAAATAGTTTGTGATTTGTGCTGTCTAAGTGGTCACTATTTTGTGTAACTTTTATTTCTTTCTCTCCAATTATTCCATTTGACTGGGCAGGGCATGCATGTTCGCATTGGAATTAAAAGCACGAGTACAGAATTTACAATTGTAGAGTATTTAAACCGTATATTGAGCCATATGCTCCTGGGAATACAAAAAAGCCAATCTGTTTATTGGGTATTATATACCATGAGTATATAAAATATTTACCCTTCGGTAAATATCGCATTTGAAAGTTTTCTTGCAAACTTCACATTTGAGTGAACTTGTCGTTTATGTTTTGCTAGCGAACACTTGTTTTTATATAGTCCACCACATATCTCACATTCTTTCTTTTCATTAGTATGCACTCGTCTAATGTGACGCCGAAGATAATACATATGCTTGAACCATTGGTCACAATCATCTACTGTGCATTTTAATTTTGGGCCACCTTCTTCAAAGTGAGCTAGTACATGTATCTCGAATGAAGCTTTATCGCGTATTACCTTAGCACACACATGACAAACATTGGGTTCATTTCGATGTCGCATACATATGTGAACTTTTAAGAGATCATTACTGGCAAAACGACTGTTGGGACATTGATCACATACGAATGGCCTTTCTTCTCTTGGTAGATGTGAGTTTTTATGCAGTTCCAGTTTCTCTTGCTTAGAGAACTTTTTAGGGCATTGATCGCAATGGAAATTAAGTTTGTCTTCCGGTGTATGTGCGGTAATCATGTGACGAGTTAGTGTTGACTGCTCGGAAAATACTTTTTGGCATTCTTTGCACCTATTTAAATAATAATAGTATACATATACAAATCAATCAAAAATTTATCGTATATTGACGTACTTAAAGAATTCTGGATTATCATGCCTATAGGCGTGATGTACAATATCTTGACGATGAAACAGCTTTTTATTGCAGCACCTTACGTAGGGACTAACATTTGGGTGATCTGTTCGAAAATGTTTTGTCACAGACGAATAGTCTTCGCTGATAAAAGGACACAATTCGCAAATCATGGGAATATATTTTTTTACCATAGCATCATCTTCCATTTTCGATTTGACGCCAAATCGTTCCGTCAATTTTTTAGTGCTATCCTCTTTACAAATCTGATTTTTTACGTTTATAGACACTTTATTCTTCCTACGTAACTTGCCACTTCTTAAAGTTTTTTCTACAAATAAGAATTAATTATCACATCATTCAGGGTACTTTTAAGCAAGCCTACCTGTTTTCTTTAGCGTTGTTGTTGTTTTTCTTTGTTTTTTGCAAATTACCTCATCTAGGGTTTCATTATCATCCAGCTCACGAATTGGGTTGATCGATTCACTACCACCATCTGTGTCTTCGTTTCTTATGGAACAGGGCATCTCGAGCTCACAAAATTCTTTCAAAATTTGATTTGAGTGGTCCAGAGATTTATCAGCCAATGGATATGCTTTTTCTGTCAGTTCTTGTTTGGGGCTCAGGTCGGGATCAAGCAATTCATTGAAATCAAATTCAGCAAAAGGCTCATTTTTCACCTTACTATTGAGGGTGTTATGTGATTCTTCCACCGACAAATANCTACCTGTTTTCTTTAGCGTTGTTGTTGTTTTTCTTTGTTTTTTGCAAATTACCTCATCTAGGGTTTCATTATCATCCAGCTCACGAATTGGGTTGATCGATTTACTATTAACATCTGTGCCTTCGTTTCTTCTGGAACAGGGCATCTCTAGCTCACAAAATTCTTTCAAAATTTGATTTGAGTGGTCCAGAGATTTATCAGCCAATGGATATGCTTTTTCTGTCAGTTCTTTTTTGGGGCTTAGGTCGGGATCAAGCAATTCATTGAAATCAAATTCAGCAAAAGGCTCATTTTTCACTTTACTATTGAGGGTGTTATGCGCTTCTTCCACCGACAAATAAAATTGATGAAAATCGTCTACTTTTGACCAACATGCGGAGCAAATCACTGCCGATATGTTCTCCTCCGGAATTGGCTATTGTAATATGAGTATGCAGAATCAATTATTATTATGAAGGTGCGTTTACTAGGCTTAAAGTTTTATTTGCTTTTTAAATGAAAATTATTGTTTTTTGGCCTGGTTTTTGTGGTTGTAGCGGCTTAGTTCTTGGTTGTATTGTGTGCTTTTGTCTAAATGAAATTACCTTGAACCAAAAGTGTCTACCAATTATATCAGCAATTCCCAATTTTATTTCATTTTCGTCAAATATGTTTAAACAGCTGTCAGCATATTTACAACAAAGTATGCACAACATTGCAAAATTTTGGATGTAATGAAATGCAGGTACAACGATAATAATAAATTAAATTTCCAGAGTAAACAAATTGACGAAAACAACAAGGGATGTGATCATGTTGATGTCAATGAAAATGAAAGTCGATAAGAAAATCTGGAATCGATTTATAAGATTTGTTCTTTGGATTGGGGCGTGTTCGGCGATATACAATAAAAAGCCAGTAATATTTGCACCAAGGGAGCGCAATTTTGATATTTCGCAACTAACTAATTTTTATTGACACTCTAAAAGTTCCCAAGTAGTTTATTTGTTTGGTAGATTGTATTTTCGGTACTTACGTATTAACGCCACCGCAGCATTAACTTTGTAGCCTTTGATTATCTGGACCCTGGTTTGGCCAACAGGCTCCTCGCATTGTACACTGTTTTTAAAAATTGTAACGGAATTTTTTTATAAGAAAAAGATTTCTAAGTCTGTGATGACGGGTTTCTTGAGAAAATCCTCCTATCTTTTTCAGCCAAACCAGGATTTTGCCGGGAAATTTTAGAAGTGAGAGTAGTTTTCCAAATTAATATTATGAATCACAAATATTGATTTAAAACCGGCGCGACAGTTATTATTTCACATGATGCACGTTCATTTAAGTATAAAATTTTATGTAACAATAAATAAATAAATCTTATTACTAAAATAAATAAAACAAAATAATATATTAGTGAATCAAAATAGTTTGAAATTTATGCTGTCTTAGTGGTCACTATTTTGTGCAACCGTTATTTGTTTTCCTCCAATTATCCCATTCGACTGGATGCATTTTCTTCTTATGCGCATGCATGTTGGCATTGGAATTAAAAGTGCGAGTGCAAAATTGACAATTGTAGAGTATTTCACCAGTATGTTGGGCCATATGCTCCTGGAAAATATTAAAAAGCAAATTTGTTTATTGGTGATTATATAATATTAATATATATTTACCTTTAAGTAAATAGCGCGCTTGAATGTTTTTTTGCAAACCTCACAAGTGTATACCACATTTGAGTGAACTCGCCGTTTATGTTTTGCCAGCGAACACTTGTTTTTATATACTCCACCACATATCTCGCAAGATATCGCTTTTTCCTCATTAGTATGCATTCTTCTAATGTGGCGCCGAAGATAATGATCATGCTTGAACCAATGGTCACAATCATCTACCGTGCATTTTATTTTTGGAGCGCCTTCGTCGAGATGAGCTCGTACATGTTTCTCGAATGAAGCTTTATCACGTATGACCTTAGCACACACATGACAAATATTAGGTTCATGTCGATGACGCATACATATGTGAATTTTCAAAAGTGCATTACTGGCAAAACGACTATTAGGGCATTGATTACATATGAAAGTACGTTCCGCCATGGGTACATGTGAGTTTTTATGAATTTCCAATTTTTTTCGTAGGGCGAATCTTTTGGGACATCGATCACAATGGAAATTAAGTTCTTCTTCTGGTGTATGCGCTTCTATCATGTGACGAGATAATGTTGCCTTTTCGGTAAATACTTTTTGACACTCTTTGCACCTATTTGAGGAGCATTGTATTAATTAAGAACAATCGGACATACTAAAAAAGTAATATTTAATATACTTAAAGAATTCCGGATTATCATGCCTGTAGGCATGATGCACAATATCTTGGCGACGAACAAGTTTTCTATTGCAGCACCTAATGTAGGGTTTAACATTTGGGTGATCTGTTCGAAAATGTTTGGTCACAGACAAATAGTCTTCACTGATAAAAGGACACAATTCACACATCATGGGAATATATTTTTTCACCAAAGCATCGTCTTCCAATACCGATTTTACGCCAGACCGTTTCTTTAACTTTTTAGTATTATCATCTTTCTTATGTGTTACTTTTAAAGAGATTTCATTTTTCCTACATAACGTGCCACTTCTTAATGTTCTTTCTATAAGGATTAATTAATAGATCATTTAAGTTATTTTATGAGGGCTTACCAATTTTTTTTGGCGTGGTGGCTTTTCCTTCTCTTGATCCATCACTTTTGTTATAAGTTTCTTCGTTTAGTTCGTCATTATCGGCCATCTCACAAATTGGGTTGATCGAATCACTCCTAGCATTTGTATCTTCGCTACATATGGAACAGGGCATCTCTAGCTCACAAAATTTGTTCAGGATTCCGTTTGAGTGGTCCATCGATTTATCAGGCAATGGACATGTTTTTTCTGTCAGTTCTTTTTTTGGACTTAGATCGGGATCATGCAATTCATTGAAATCGATTTCAGCAAAAGGCTCATTTTTCACTTTACTATTGAGGGTGTTATGCGCTTCTTCCACTGACAAATAAAATTGATGAAAATCGTCTACTTTTGACCAACATGCGGAGCAAATCACTGCCGATATGTTCTCCTCCGGAATTGGCTATTGTAATACGGGTATGAAGAATAAATTATTACAACGATTCGGTTACTAGGTTTATAGATTTAGTCACTTTTTAAGTAAGAAATATTGAATTTTGGCTACCAAGATATTTTATGTTTGATTGCATTGTGCTTTTGTCCGAATAAAATTACCTTGAACCAAAAGTGCCTCCCAATTATGTCAGCAATTCCCAATTTAAGTTCAATTTCGTTAAATATTTTTAAACAGCTGTCCCCATATTTACAACAAAGTATGCACAACATTGCAAAGTTTTGGATGAAATTAAATGCGAGTGCAACGAAAGTAATAAATTAAATATCCAGAGTAAACAAATTGATGAAAACAACCAGAGATGTGATGGAATTGATGTTTAATTATTTTTTCCCCGACAATAAGAATGAAAGTCGATAGCAAATCTGGAATCGGTAGTTACCGTATCTGTATTTTCGGTATTTTTATTAACGTCACCGCAGAAATATCTTTGTAGTCTTTGATCCCCTGGACCCTGGTTTGACCATCACACGCCCCGCACAGTACCTCGTTTTTGCAAATTTTAACGGAATTTTTTAATAAGAAGGATATCCCTTCATCTTAGGCTGCCGAGGAGTTAATATAATACGTAAGGACTATATTGTTTAGAGGATTTCGCCGAAATATTTTAGAGTATAAGATTAATATTTCAAATTAGCACTTTGAATCAAAAATATTGGTTGAAAAACCGGTGCAAGAGTTATTATTTGAAATGATTTACATTCATTTAAGTATAAACTTCTATGTAACATTAATATCTTAATGAATATACGAAATTTGAGCATACATTAAAATAGTTTTAAAATTTATGCTGTCTTAGTGATCACTATTTTGTACAACCGTTATTTGTTTTCCTCCAATTATCCCATTCGACTGGATGCATTTTCTTCTTATGCGCATGCATGTTGGCATTGGAATTAAAAGTGCGAGTGCAAAATTGACAATTGTAGAGTATTTCACCAGTATGTTGGGCCATATGCTCCTGGAAAATATTAAAAAGCAAATTTGTTTATTGGTGATTATATAATATTAATATATATATTTACCTTTAAGTAAATAGCGCGCTTGAAAGTTTTTTTGCAAACCTCACATGTGAATACCACATTTGAGTGAACTCGGCCCTTATGTTTTGTCAGCGAACACTTGTTTTTATATACTCCACCACATATCTCACAAGTTACCGCTTTCTGCTCATTAGTATGCACTCGTCTAATGTGACGCTGTAGATAATGCTCATGCTTGAACCAATGGTCACAATCATCTATCGTGCATTTTAATTTTGGGCCGCCTTCTTCAAAATGAGCTAGTACGTGTTTCTCGAATGCACCTTTATCACGTATTTCCTTAGCACACACATGACAAATATTTGTTGCACGACGATGTCGCATACATATGTGAACTTTCAAGAGATCATTACTGGCAAATCGACTGTTGGGACATTGATCACATACGAATGGTCTTTCTTCTCTTGGTAGATGTGAGTTTTTATGCAGTTCCAATTTCTCTTGCCGAGAAAATTTTTTAGGGCATTGATCACAATGGAAATTAAGTTCTTCTTCCGGTGTATGTGCGGTAATCATGTGACGAGATAGTGTTGACTGTTCGGAAAATACTTTTTGACACTCTTTGCATCTATCAAAATACTGATGGTATAATATATTCACAAATCAAAGAAATAATAAAAGTACTTAAAGAACTCTGGATTATCATGCCTGTAGGCGTGATGCACAATATCTTGGCGATGAAACAACTTTTTATTGCAGCACCTTACATAGGGTTTAACATTTGGGTGATCTGTTCGAAAATGTTTTGTCACAGACGAATAGTCTTCGCTGATAAAAGGACACAATTCGCAAATCATGGGAATATATTTTTTCACCATAGCATCGTCTTCCAATTTCGATTTTACGCCAGATCGTTCCTTCAATTTTTTAGTGTTATCCTCTTTACGAATCTTATGTTTTACGTTTTTAGACTCTTTGCTCTTCCTACATAACGTGCCTCTTCTTAATATTTTTTCTACAAATAAAAATTCATTGTTACATCATTTGGGTTACTTTTCAGCAAGCCTACTTGTTTCCTTTAGTGCTGGTGCTGTTTTTCCTTGTTTGTTGCCAATTTCCACGGCTGGGTGTTCATTACCGTCCAGCTCGCGAATTGGATTGATTGATTCACTATCACCATCTGTGTCTTCGGTGCTTATGGAACAGGGCATCTCTAGCTCACAAAATTCATTCAGGATTTCATTTGAGTGGTCAAGGGACTTATCAGCCAATGGACATGTTTTTTCTGTCAGTTCTTTTTTGGGACTTAGATCGGGATCAAGCAATTCATTGAAATCAAATTCAGCAAAAGGCTCATTTTTCACCTTACTATTGAGGGTGTTATGTGATTCTTCCACCGACAAATAAAATTGATGAAAATCGTCTACTTTTGACCAACATGCGGAGCAAATCACTGCCGAAATATTCTCCTCAGGAAGCGGCTATTGTAATAGAGTACTGGTCAATTAAACTAGAATTATTTGTTTTTCCCCCACACAAAGCAAATCAATGCTACAACACCAAAAAGATAAATTTATGAAAAAGTACCTTGAACCAAAAGTGTCTTTCGATTATATCTGCTATTTGTAACTTTGATCCTATTTCGTTAAAGATGTTTAAAAAACTGTCAGCATATTTAAAACAAAGTATGCACAACATTTTTAAATATTCAAGATAATTAAATACAATTCCTGCAATAATACAAAAACCAATATCCGCTGTAAACATATAAATAAAAACATTTAGAGATGTGATAAAGTCGATTTTTTTTTTTTTACTAAAGATGGAAGGTAATTAGAAAATCTTTTATTTATATTTTAAAAATATAAGAGCAGTAAAACAGATAAAACAACTACCTAAATAAATATTCCGATTGCTTCGACAATGAATGTATAACAAAGTTCTCCGGCTTAGAGCACAACAAATGTCTTTATAGTTTAATCTGTTCAATGCAAGGTAAGGTTAACAGAAAATAAAGTGACCACATTGACGTCAATAAACAGTCACGGTTACAGTGGGCAAGAATAGTTATTTGTATCACCAAAAAAGTTAATTTGTTTAAGAAAAAAATTGGTTTAAACTTAATAACATAAATATAAAAATTTACAATTTCTTCGATGTTTATCTTAGTTTTATCTTTCCGATCACCAAAGAACAAAAAAGAACTTGAGCTGATAACAAGTAAAATGTTTGAATTTAGATTCGCTGATAGCAATTTCGCAGAATGTTTATTTTTGGCTTCACCTTTATATAATTTCAGATAAACTATTCTCTTCAGTTGGGAATCGTACACCAATCGCAGCACATTTCGGATTTATTTGTCTGTTAAACTGTAGCAAGTACTGTTTTTATTTTAGGAAACTAGAAAAAATGCTAAGCTACCACATTGCACAATGAATAAACCTAAAGCAAAAATCTATTTTACAGTATTTTGACTTAAAAAGAGAGTAATAATATCCAGAATCACTGCCAGCAATTACTTAAATTTCAATTTATTTGAAGTAATAACAAGGCCGAATCTGTTGGTCGCTACATAATGACTGTGTTTGAAATGCCAATACATACATAGAAGAAGATTTGTCCTGTAAAAAATTGGATCGAAAACAATCGTTTTAGGAACCATATTGCCAAACAATTTTCCTTTTATGCTTCATAAACTTGCTTGAAAACTTGTAAGATACGCCGAAAAGTCCTGTGGAATCTTTTTTATCAGTATCATTATCCAAATGATCGGCCATCTTCTGCACTACAATAAAATTCTCAGAAATGTTTCAAATATATGTACATATATACATACACAAGTATAATTGAAATTTGTTTAGAAAAATTAACCAATACACTATTATTTAAAGCTAAGAACTCGGCCAAAAAGCAATATAAACAATTCCAGTAGCTATGCTAAATAAGTTTCCTCTTATAAAGAGGTTTGTTGCTTGCTTATCAACCGCTGTGAACTTCCCTGTTTAGTTTTACGCCAAATATCCCACTCTGCTGGGTGCATTTTTTTCTTATGCGAATGCATATTGGCGTTTGAGTTGAAGGTGCGCGTACAGAATGGGCATTTGTAAAGACTTTCTCCAGTATGTTGAGCCATATGTTCCTAAAAAAAAAATCGTATATGTAAAGTACATTAAAATAGTTTTGATTAAACAATTGGTTGTTGAATATATGATATTTCGGCTCACCCTCAATGTTATGGCTTTTTTGAATGTTTTATTACATTCTTCACAAGTGAAGACTTCCTTTGAGTGTACATATAGTATATGACTACGAAGAGCACGACGATTTTTGCAAGTACGTCCACATTCTTCACATTTAAACGTCAAACCTTCGTCATTGTGTCGACGCATATGTTGTCGCAAATTTTCTTCATCCTTGAGCCAACTATCACAATCGGGTCGTGGACATTTAACACGGGGCCCACTATCTTCGAAGTGCAAACGTACGTGTTTCTCAAATGATGCCCTATCTCTTATCTCTTTAGCGCATACATGGCAAACGTTCGTTGCACGACGATGACGCATGCTGATGTGAATTTTCAACAGATGATTGCTAGCAAATCGACTATTCGGACATTGATCACATATGAAAGAACGCTCTTCCATTGGTACATGCGAGGGGACATGCAATTCTAATAAATATTTGCGTGCAAATTTCTTTGGACATTGGTCACAAGCGAAATGAAGGTCTTCTTCTGGTGCATGTGCGGCGTTTCTGTGATACTTTAAAGTGTATCGATCAGCGAACACTTTTTGACAATCCTGACACCTAGATTTGGGTTCCAATTCGAAGGATTAACAAAATCATACGCACACAAATCAAAATATCTTACTTAAAAAATTCTGGGTCCTCATGCTTATAAGCATGTTGTACTACTTTAAAACGCTTGTTTAATTTCCTGTTGCAACAGCGAATGTATGGTTTAATATTCGGATGCTGTAAACGGAAGTGTTTAGACATGTCGATATAATCTTCACCCACAAACGTACAAAGATCACAACCCATCGGAATATGTTTTTTCACCATTTCATCATCTTGCGGGGATGATGTTATAACTTTAACACGCCTCGGCTTTTCTGGTTCATAATCATCCTCTTCACTGTCCTTATCATCTTCTTCCACTTCTTTTTTGGCCACTTTCTTTGGTGCATTTGTTTTCTTTCGCACATATTTCCGTTTTGCACTTGTTACTTTACTATTATCTGTAGTTTTCTCTAAATGAATTATTTTGTTATTTATGTGCTATAGTTTAAACTAATTTTAAAATTACCGCTATCTGGCTTAGTGACAATGGTTTCCTCTTTAACTTCATCCAGCTTTACTTCATTTTCCGAATCCTCATTCTTACTGGTATCCATTTCCGCTTCATACAAAGGGTTAACAACTTCCTCAATTTGTTCGGCATTATGTAAAAATTCCAAACTTTCTTCCTTAATTTGTATGGATTCTTGGACAAAGTCCACCGTATTTATCACCATTGTTACAGTCTCGTGCTTCACATCGATGCCGTTCAGTAAGGAATGTGCTTGCTCCACAGTCAAGTAGAATTGATGGAAATCACTTACTTTTAACCAGCAAATACGGCATATCACTGTGGATATGGTGTCACTGGGTAGAGGCTGAAATAGCGAGGAGTAAAAACAATACATAAATAAACACAAAACACAGGAATACGTGTACGCATGTGTGTAGTATGAATGTTGCCTTCGTAGCAAGTCACCTGAAACCAAAAGTGTCTCTTTAGTATTTCTGCTATTCCTAATTGTTCGCCATTAACATCGAAAATTTCCAGACAACAATCGGCTTCTTTTAAACAAAGCCGGCATATCATCCTTGTATATAAAAAAACTATTCAATATAATTTATTGTTTTTCACAGAAAACAACAATTTTATTACTGCAGAAGTTAATTTATTGATGGTAATGCTGCCAATTTGTAAATATTTCGACGAATTTCTTGTTCAGTGTTGGGATTCACTATTTAATAATTTAGCGATGATGTGAGCGCTTAGAAAATAATATTCAAAAAATGAGTATTTGGCATTCGTTTTATCCCAAGATGAGGGGCGTTATTCCCTTCATCAGCCGATAGAAATTTACTTCGAGAAGTGGAAGAAGCTTATATAAACCACAATGGATTGCTAAATACCCAGGTAACACTCACGACAGCTGCTTCTATGCGTCGGGGTTGGCCCGGATTTTATCCGGAAAAGGGTCACCCTTTCGGTGACCTAAACTCGTTTATACCAGCAGGTAACATTAGTCTAAGAGCTCCAAATCCTTTTCATCAGGGTTGTCAACGTTGGTCCGACGGATTATTTCTGCGCCATATGACACAAACATCTTCTCCATTCCTCTATTTCGGTTAGATGCAACCAGTGTTAAGGCTGGAGTGATTTTAAGGTCTTTTCAAATCTTAGGACACATAGGATGTGGTAGCGTTCAATCACACCATCTGTCTCAACGGCAGTGCCTTCAACATTTCTACCCACTTTGGGTATCCACCCCAGACCTCCACGATATTACGAAGCTCCCCGTAGTATAACTCCCGTTGAAAAGAGTTCTCTGAGTCAAACCATCACCTATAGCAGACGAAGGACTCCAGCTGCCTCGAGAGTCCTGCGTAATACTGACAAATCTTATTTATATAATTGGCGCTTTGAGAAACTGAGCCGACTTTTCGGCCGAGCTCCTCCTTTAAATTTTGGTTTCTCGCCTTGATGATTTTCCAACAAATGGAGGGACCTACAGTTTATATTAAACCGCATCCGAACGGCTGACGGTTTTTTACGAGGAGCCTTTATTTCATGTCCGAAACACACTCGGAGGGGTGGACATTCCCTACAATTAGAAAATTTTACTTATTTTTTTGCTTCAATTAATTTTTCTGACAAAACTTACTTCTGGATATTATAGCAGATTAAACTCCCACTTATCTACCCTCGACGTATGTTCTGCATGCAACGAGTCCCCGCACCACACTAACCACCTCTTTGCATGCGTTTTAGACCCAACTCATCTAACCCCCCTCTCCCTCTGGTCCGAACCAGTCGGAACATCCCGTTTCCTTGACCTGAACAACAACTAATTCATTATACAATAATTTTGAACGTAGTTTGGAAAGTGGAAGTTTTATTAAGCTATGATGTCGCCTTTCTTCCAATTCAATAAAAAAAAACGGACTACAGTTGCCGGTTTGCCGAATTTATCGAATGGTATCGATCAAGGTTAGTGAATACCACTACAGATCAAACATTTTCTTATTTTTGTGAGTCATGCTATCGTTTATGGTACTGATAGAAAAAATAAATAAAACAAACTAAAACAAAAATAAATTAAAAAAATATAATAAAAAATAAAATAAAAAAATAAATAAAATATAATAAAAAAAAATAAAATAAAATATAATAGAAAAATAAAATAAAATAAAATTATATAAAAAAAAAAAATAAAAAAAAAAAATAAATTTAAAAATTAAATAAAATAAAGTGAAATAAAAAATAAATTAAAATAAATTAAATAAATAAAAATAAAATTAAACAAAATACTACAACATAAATAAAATTAAATAAAATATAATAAAAAAAAAAATAAAATAAAATTTAATAAAAAAAATAAAACAAAATAAAATAAAAAATTAAATTAAATATAATAAAAAAATAAAACAAAATAAAATAAAAAATTAAATTAAATAATTTAATAATAATTTAATTAAATAAAGTGAAATAAAAAAATAAATTAAAATAAAAATTTAAATAAATTAAATAAATAAAAATAAAATTAAACAAAATACAACATAAATAAAATTAAATAAAATATAATAAAAAAAAAATAAATAAAATTTAATAAAAAAAAATAAAAGAAAATAAAATAAAAAATTAAATTAAATATAATAAAAAAATAAAACAAAATAAAATAAAAAATTAAATTAAATAAAATATAAAAAAAATAAAATAAAATAAAATTTAATAAAAAAAAATAAAACAAAATAAAATAAAATAAAAAATTAAATTAAATATAAAAAAAAAATATAATTAAATAAAAAATAATAAAAAAAATAAACTAAAATAAAATAAAAAATTAAATAAAATAAAGTGAAATAAAAAATAAAATAATATAAAAAAGTAAGGAAACAAATTTAAATTTGGTTAATTGAATGAGTGAGATTCATTTTTGAAACGAACGCTCTGTTGGTGCTGGTCAGTGCTGGAACTCCGTTGCTATTATCAAATTTGCTCCTTTTTAGGAGATAATTGCAAGGGGGCATCGTAATGATATAATTAATCGAAAATTTTCTATCGCTCCGGTTGAAAAATGTGGAAATGTTATCGTTAAAGCAGTTATCAAAATAAATTTTATATCGTTTTTACCCGAAAAGAAATGCTATCGTTAATGTTAAATCACGGATAAAAACGTATATTGTCAAATGCTTAAATTGAGGTGTGCTGGGAAATTAACACTCTCCCAAAGACAGAAATTTCGGCTATTAGAAATCAGCATTTTTTCCTTCTTCTTCTTTGGCATAGACACCGTTTTCGGGATTATAACCAGATTAACAGTAGCGAGCCATTCGTTTCTTCTCTTCTTTTCCCCACCAATATGAATACTAGTATTTTCATCGATTCGTACGACCATCATTAACCTTGGGAATTCGATTTCAGGAACTCTGGATGTCTGTCACCAGATTACCTCCTTGGTTTCCAAACGAGTATGCCTCGGTTTTGAAACTTCTTGCAAGTCGTCGTATCTATTTATAGAATTTTCAAGCCTCTCTCGGCCAGCTTCTTAAGCACTTCATACTCACGTTTTTCAACTACCCACATTTTTATTTTGGTTTTCTACAATATACATTCGTTGCTTCTCTTCAGATATCGGTATCAATCTCACCTCGCTCTTGCCTTAGTCGATCGGAACGTTGTGAGAGAGACAGTCTGTTTTTCCTCCACTGCAGTTTAACAGTCCAAATTATGCCACAATTTTTTCTATAAGTGCGGTACTTTAGGCTTGAAATGTCAATTTCGATCCGGCTACAGCTATATACATAGCTTGAAGGATTCTTTATGCCGGAATCTGGTCGTACTTACAATTATAACATGGGCGCCGGTCAGAAGCGTCCGCCACCGGTGTGAATGACGACGAAGTCCTATAGTCTTATGAGGTCATTAAACACCTAAGAGCCAACATCCCAATTAAAGTCGCTAGGCGCATGCTCTCAAATCGTAATCCTTACAAAGTAGGTATTTTCTTCAAAATGGGGGTCTCTCATTCGAGACATATAGCTTAATTTTTTCAAGTAAAATGCATTTATAACATCGTGAATACAATACCTTTATACCACTGAAAATATATTCTTGAGATTTCTCTTCAAAATGCCGTTTTTATCTCACTGCCGTCTATAACTCCGTTTTAAAATTGGAAAAAAGGAAAAATCTCTGGGAGCCATGTGCATGGTAAATTTCTGTAAATCCAGTAGCTTTTAAGGCATTACTCACAATCCGAGCCGTGTGAACGGGTGTGTTGTCTTGAAGTAACATCACTTCGCGCGATAGCATGCCTCGTGTCCTCTGTAAGACGGCCTTATGCGCCTGACTCAACAAATGAGCAACAAACTGGCCGTTCATTGTAATTCTCTTTGGGAAATAATCAATTAACAAAATCTTTCGCTATACCAGAAAATGGTAGTCACAACCTTCGACCACTTTGCATCGACGACTGTTTGGACTCGGGATCATACCGACAAAACTAAGCTTTATCAATTCTTACAATGCGGTTGCAAAATTTTATACAAATCAGCTTGGCAACGCTCCAAAAAGGCTTAACAACCATCCAATCGTCGCAGATTCGCAGATTGTCACGCGGCGTGAGCATTCGCGGTACCCAACGCGCACTAATTTTTTTATATTCAAATGTTCATGCAAAATTTCGCCAGCTCGATATGCGCTAATCTGTCATCCTTGACTTACAGAACAATTTCTTCGTTCACCACCGCCACAGTGCGCCCCGGGCGAGGGTCATCTTCACTTTTTTTTTATTGAAATAGCCGAGCCCATTTTATCACCATTGTATATGAAGAAGCAAAGTCCTGAAGCGCGATGCTCCAAATTGCGAGAGTTTCCAGTTTCCGTTGACATAGTGTTGTTGCTTGTTCCAGGAATGAAATGTTAAAAAAACTAATAAAAAAAAGTTGTGTTATTTTGTCTGATAATGACTCCTACAATTTGTACTATCAGTAACGAGATGATGTGTCATCTCTAACTACTACCTAAGGTCGCGTAAAGGTCGCCGCATCGTAGAGGTTTACAAGTATGGAACCTTGTGAAAGCTGTCAACTCGCTTTTACCTGTCAATCCCGGGATTTGTCTGTCAAATATAAAATCATAATGGTTGTGGCCAAGTTGACAGACAAACTAGATAGAAGATACGGAGATCTTTGGATTTGAAGATTTTCAGTTTAAATACCCAGAAAAGGAAAGAACGAAATAGGAAATGTCGTACCAAAAAGGAGAGTAAAGAATCTGTTAGCGAAACATCATATGGAATGGGGGAAATTTAAATACGAAATTTCCAAGAAAAGGAAATAATGAAAATGATTTAGAAATCAGGTGATCTCTTACTTGTAAACATCTACGATGGTCAGTCGCGCCTCGTATGTAAATGGAAGAAATGAAGTTTTTTTTTTTGTTTAGATTTTAGAATTCATAATTTATTAAAGACATAAATTTAGAGTTGCATAATTTTATAATTGTTATATTTTTTAATATAATTAGATTAATATTTGGTTTAATTAATTTATTTTAAATCACAGCAGTCTTCATATATACATATGTGTATAAATACATATATATACTTAAACAATGTATGTATGTATGTATGTTCTTGTTTTTCTTCGCTTGCTGACGCTTTGTTTTTCTTATTTTTATTAGTTGTTGCTTTTTGTTTTTTTGTTGTTTTTTTTTTTGCTTGCCTATAATAAATGTCTATGCTAAATACATACATACATATGTACATATATATGTATATACAAATTTTAATGTGGAGTATGAAATTTGAATTGGAAAACAAAGCCAGGCTAGGCTGTTGAGGCTTGGACCTGATGAGACTAAAAAGTTGCATTTACCCGGCAATACTTTGTCATTCACTAAACAATGATTTCACAAAAAAGAAAATATTATTAATATATGTATATGATACATACATATGTATGTAGTAAATTGGAATGGAATCTTATTTTACTGTTGTCGCGCTTATGCATGTATATACGTACATACATATGTATGTCGGTGTGTATGCGTGTTTAATTGAATATAATTCTATGTCGAATTACTAAATATATATGTACATACAAATGTACCCACAAATGTAATTATATATATACATACATAAATACATAAAATATAAAATTGTTTGTATTTATTTCCCTTTCGTATCTTTAAATGTTCGAAATTGCAAAGAAAAAATTTTATATCATATATTTTATATGAAAACCCTGATATTAGCAAAATACCAAATTCTATGTTCACACTTAAAAAAAATGAGAATAAAATTACATATCAGAAAATATGGTAAACAGTTAGTTAATATTTTCATATTTCTTGCCTGAAGAAATAATATAAAATTTAAGAATTAATTTAAGTTTATTTTAAAAAATATTTTTTTCAACAACTTACATTGCAGTTGAAGAATTACAAAAAATTATTTAATTTTATTCTTACATTTTCAGCGTAAAAATGTGTTTTTAAATACATACTTCTATATATATTTCTTTCGATTGAAAATTCGTAAAAACGAAAAATACACAATATTCGAAGAATTTAGTGCGAATAAAAGTACATACATATGTACATACATAAATACTCGTATATATTTATAATTTTTAAAGTTCTTCAAAATCGTGCTCAGGCTTGCTATACACTGAGGGGGGGAGGGAGGCGGTCAAAAGGATGAATGTGACATGCAAGTTCCTTTTAGTTTAAACACATTCTTCTTATAATAAAATATATAAAAACATACATATATACATATATAAAATGCTAGAACTCAAAATTTTGTTCAAACATTTTTAAGCAGCTCGAGTAGTTCGCGTTTTTACAACAATTTTGCATAAAAAATTTTACTTTTTTCTTAGATATTTTTACTATAATTTTTATATTATTCCTGCAAAGTGTAAAATTCATTAAAATTCTAAAAAAAATGTTTTCAATCAAAATTTAAAAATTTTAAAAATAATTATTTGACCAATTGAGCACCGAACGAGCGTCGAGCTACTCACACTGCTCGATACCCGGAGAGCTCTAATATACGTATATATTTTGTTATCGAATCGATTTGTTTGTTATCGATCTTCAAAAAAACTTTTCGTAGACAACATTAAGCTTGCGCTACTTTGAGTTATTAAAAAAAATAAATAAATAAAAATTTAAGTAAAAAAAAAAAATTTAAATAAAAAAATAAAATTTTAAATAAAAAAATAAAAATTTTAAATAAAAAAATAAAAGTATTAAATTAAAAAATAAAAATTTTATTTAAAAAAATAAAAATTTTAAATAAAAAAATAAAATTTTAAATAAAAAAATAAAAATTTTAAATAAAAAAATAAAAGTATTAAATAAAAAAATAAAAATTTAAAATTAAAAAAAAAAATATAAAAAAATTTTTAAATATAAAAAAATGTAAATACAACTAAAATTAAAAAAATGGTTGCAATCGATTTTTTTTATAAAATCTGCTATTTTTTAAGTGTTTTTATGAATCAAATATTATTGCCGATTCAAACATTATTTGAACAACAACAAATGTTGGTTGACCAGATCAACAGCAACGAGTTTTTACTACTCAAAGACAAATAATTTTTACGTTTTACAAAAGAAAAAAAAAAATACGTCGATTTAAGGTTAAAACTGCACAAAAATTAGAGAGAGCAAGAGAGACAGAGAGAGAGAAAAAAAACACTTTTACATAAACACAGACATAAAAAACCGATTTTAGATTTGTTTTAATATGTTTATTTTATATAAATACATACATATGTACGTATTTTTGTGCATTATCATTTGCTTTGATTTTTCTTTTATTTTTTCTTTTAATTACATATATAATTCTATTTCGTTAGGACTACAGTTTTGCGTTTTCGAATGCTTATTTACATACACTATATACATATGTACATTCAATTCAGACAAATTGTAGCATATATATTTATATATATATATATGTATATATGTACATAAAAGGAAATCTTGTAGCATTATTTACATATATTTTTTATTTATGTATAGCTATGCTCTATCGTATCTAATATATATTGTTTGTAAACTTATACATAAGAAGGTCAAAAATCTAACTAATAACAAAAAATGTGTTTAGTTAAATACATACATACAATCATATGTACATATTTAGGTATAATAATTTGCTCATATTAATATTTACATAAATTTTAATATACATATGTATATTTATTTCTATATATTGAGATATTATATGCATTAAAATTATTTAATAAAATTTCGTTAATAAGTATATATGTGTTTGTGTATTTAAAATTTTGCTTAACTGAAGATAAAACAAATATACAAAAATCACATTTACATATACATACATATGTATATACGTACGTACAAAGTATGTATGTATGTAATTAACATTTGGAGTTATATGCAACTATTCTTCTTACTATGTACAATATATATATACATATTTATTCATATATGTATAAGGCGAAAAATTTATTTTTATTTAAATTTATTTAATTAATATATGATATATATACATATATACATATGTACAATATATATATACAAATAGACGTACTTAGCTACATATGTATTAAGGTGTTAATTAATACATGTATGGGTTTTATTGTAAATACATTTCTACATATTTATGCACATAGATTTGTTTGCTCGTCGTAATTATCTAAAAATAGTTAAAAACCTTAACGGTACATATTAGCAAACAAAAATAAAGACTGCACATACATACATACATACATGCATACATTTAGATAATTGTTTATAGTAATTTTAATTCAAAAACATTTGCATGTACATATATATATATATATTTATGTATATTTATGTATATATATATATTTATATATATATATATATAAATTTAGGTACATATATATAGTATGTATGTATATAATTGGCGCTTTCTAACCCTTCAAGCGTTTTTCGACTGAATAATATTACTTTGTGTACATAGATATATACATATATTCGCTAGATAGTTACTTATCAGTGCTAATTATATAATATATGCATTTCTATATATCTAAACAAATATATATATGTATGTAAACACTGTTCTCGTCGTTTTTGCTTTAATTGAGAGCAAAAATCTCTTACATACACACATACATACATAGGTAAATAGTAAAAATCTGTTCAGTTCCGTCACATCTTATATATACTCGTACATATACACATACATACAAGTACATAATAATGTACACATGCTAATCAATGGAAAATATACTAATAACATAATATTTTCTCTATTTCTATGTATTTGCATGTACCGTTGTTTGTTATTTTCAAATTTCTTATACAGTAATTTTCACATTTTTCATTCACTAAATTTCATTGTTTTATCAACATTTTGTCTTTTATCCGCTATTTACGCATGAATCGCACATGCATCGTCTATATGTATGTACACGTATGCATAACCAACCGCCCATCCGCACGTCTATCGCCAAACGTTGAATTTCTTTGCCTACACCACGCACCGTCCGCACTCTTTTAACCGGCGACTTGCTGCATGGTGAGCTTATTGATCAGTTGCTGACACAATTTACCATATTCGAATTGATCGCCCGAGATGCGTCGCAATTTGATACCTTTGCCAGCGGTCTGATTGTCCCGGCTACGACCCTCGCAAACTTGTAATTCGATTTGTAAACCGCCTGAATACTCTAAGCTTAGATTTGTACTCGTACTGACGTAGCCACTTGCGCCGGCACCACCACCATAACCGGACACACTACTACTCGTGTCCATCGATGTGGCCGATGATTCGCTGGTGGCGTTTGAAGCATTACTTATACGCGCTTCGCCTGTGCTCGCATATGTCGTGTTGGCGAACTCCTCTGGCTGTCCACCTTTGTGCAAGACGGCACCTTTGGGTGGCATTGTTTGATCAATTGTCTGTTTGACCAATTCTAGTATACGTGTGGGATCGAGATTAGAACATTCGTGTGGTAGCGGTACTTCATAGCACATCTCCTCGGACATGCGACGGGAATCGCAAATGGAGTCGGGTGATAAGTGGCCCTCAGTGTGATCGCCAATTTCGGAATGTGATTCCGATTTGAAGCCAGAACTGGCTGATGGCTCTTGGCAGGGCGAAAGGTTGTTGGAGTCGTTACTCAGTGAATCGTCAGAGAAGCCGAGTGATTTATCACTGCCGCGTCTATTCGATTCGCTGGTGTTGTTAGTCGTGTTGACGTCACCGTCCAAACGTGTCGCTTGACTTTCGGCGGCGCACTCCAAACTCGTCTTGCGGCCGGTGCCACGTGTTATTGAAGGCATATCGCTGGAAGGTTCCGTGATTATGAGGCCCTTAAAATCAAAGAAATTTACTTGGATTTAGTGCATCGCTCAGAACTAATATAAAATAAATAAATATAGATATTAAGACTTGAACTACTTTAAGATATATTACTTTGTAGCTTCAGACGTTCTAAACACATTTTAGTGAGAGAAGCTATGCGCTCACCTGCAGTGACATCAGGGATGCGGGCGGCTCCAGTGAATCGCAATCACTATCTCGACTATTCTCCGAACTTAATGCCACCAGCGTTATTTCGCTGCCCTGCACGTCTGTCAGACATATTTGCGGATGTGATGGTTGACACGGTGACGTCATGTCTTCGTTGATGAGACCACCAGTGCAGCCGGCATGCGGTGTACCTGTTGTTATCGTATGATACATTTGTCCACTGGCATTCTCCTCCTGTATGATGCAGAGATTTGGCGAGGCGGGCGGTGTGGGTACGACGCGCACCGGTTGCGCTGGTGATAAGTTTAATGGTTTGAGATCGAAACTGGACAATTGTGGCGTCATCATCCAATTGACGTGTTGTTGAGCAAATGCATTTGTTGGCGTCTCAGCAGCCGAGCTGTCCGATGTGCACACATCCATAGAAAGATCTAGCGGCTGATTGACTGCGGCAGCGGAGGCGGCAATTTCACTGGCCGCAGAGGTACCACGTGTAATCGAACCACCGCCACCCGTCGACAGTACGGAGATACCCTTGGTGATTTGATGGAGTGGCGATGAGCCACCACCACCAACGCCCGCACCGGGCATATAAGGGTTAGGTGAGGTGGAGCCGCTAAAGCTGCTATAGATGGGTGACTGACAACCACTGCTACTATTCGAACCGCTGAATTGTCCAACTAAACCGCCGCTCGTACTGGGCGTTACACCCTGACTAAGTGTAATGTGACTGAATTGACCCACCAAACCATTGTTGCCATGTTGTATTTGTGGATGCATCAAGCCCAAGTGTTGTTGTTGCTGCTGTTGCTGGTAGGGTCCTTGACCCAACATTTGTTTCGAGTGTGCGCCCATGCTGTGGTTACACGACGGCGGTAGTGTCATTAGTGGGCCGCTAACAGCGCCCATAACACCGGCATTGGCGCTATTGGGCAAAGAGAGCGGCGACACACTTAAGCTGTACATACCACCCACATGGTGTTGCATGGCAGATGAGGCCATATCTAAGTGGCCGCCACTTACCGCCGCACTGCCGGCATGTGCTGTCAAACCCAGATGGGAGGCCAAATCCAGTGGCACCATGCCGGTTGAAACTATTTTGTTGGCAATATCTGTGCTCAGTCGGTGCTCCTTGACGAGCCGGTCGAGATGTGGCATTAAAGCGCGTACCGTTTCAGGCGGCACCTCGACTTCTTGGCCACGGCGGAATATCAGATGCGGTGAGGGTTTACCATGTATCGGTGAACCTGATGGCGCGAAAACGGGTTGAAAAAGAAAAACAAGAAAATTAAGCGAAATTCCATAAAAAAAACATGAGGTAGGGATGTGCGATTAATCGATGAATTTAAGTTAATTGCCTAATCGAACATCCCCATTGAGAAATGGGACAGTTGTAAGTGCAAGAAAGCTAAGCATTTAATTTCTTTAATTTTTAATTCGAATTCTTAATTGGCTGAACTTGATTCAAACTCTGTGGCAACTACGGGTTTATGTGCATTTTTGTTTTGTTGAAAATATTCGATAGTAAACAAGTTGAGAATTGGCGCTGGATTTTTGAATCAAGTTCACAAAGAATTTCACAACCAATATTCATCGCCAAGGCTTACCGGGCAAACTAATAGAATTTTCTGAAAGCGGCGGTGTTGGTGCAACCAAAAAATTACGTTGTGCTGATACTTTCTGAAGATACTGACATTCCTGCAGTGGACCCTGAAATTGCGCTTTCGAACCCTCCGAGGCGCGACGTACTGGGCTGTAGCGACCTGTAACGAAGGCAGACAAGTCGATGGAAAGAGCAGAGAAAAGCATAATGATTAGATAATTACCAATAGTAGAGATATCTATGTTTTTAACCTAAAATTTCTCATTGTAAATATTAAATATTACATACAAGCGGCTACATGATCATGATAACTTAAATTACTACGAGCGTTGATCAATAACAATTCGCTTTATTCCGATATTCGTGGACTATCTGATTTTACTTCTTTGTAGCGTGTACTGGCTTAACTTCTCGACCTATACCGCTGAAAAGCTCTTACACAGTCGCTGCTGAGTTTGAACTACAAATAGAGGTGTGCTAGGCTTATATGTTTGGGTCTGCTTCCCACGTCGGTCTCCCAAAGTAGTTTCAACTATGGGCTGGTGCGAAGATGTCGATACGCGTTCTTCGCAAAAACACAACGTAAGCAAACTTCTTGCGGAATAGCCGATTGATTAGCATTACGTACATTTGTCGTTCTCGGAAGATCAGAGTTCGAGTTTTGGTTCGACTAACATCCCAAATTAATTTTTCTAATAGCGGTCGCCCTTCGGCAGGGAATGTTTCGTGTTTATTTTTGCGATGAGATAAGAGCTCCTCATAAAAATTCAACCGCCGTTCGGAGGCGGCTCGGAATGAGCTGTAGGTGCCTCCATTTGTTGGAAAAACATCAAGACGCGCAAAACCACAAAGGAGTAAGATCTCGGCTGAAAATCGACAGGACCCGCCATTCACTGGTCCTTAGATGTGAATTGAGATATTTGTGGTTTCTGAGTAGGAGAATCCTAGTTTGACGGTATTCGTATGTTTGGTTGCTCCGAACGTAGTTAAGCTTCTTGGTACCATATGTTGCTGTTGTTGTTATAATTGCAGAAATATTCTCCAAATCGGTTTTCGAAAGAAATAAGGCGTGCCGGGTAGTCTTCGGCTGTATAAAAAACAAGATCTTTTCAGTGTAAAGACCCTCTATCGCCTCTATTACGACAGCCTTATCGCGAATACATTTTTGAGCTACGTAAAGGTTGTTAAGCTCGAACTGATCTCAGAATGATTTCATCCATATTTTTTTACTACTAATTTGCCACGGCCAGCAACGGAGCTTTTAACTTGCTAAAGGTGAAGGTCCCAGTTTTAGTTACGACTTCGAAGTAGAACCACGCGAGAGACACTCGCATATCAACACTCGTACTCCGTATAACTAATGTAATTCGAGCTCGAATATAAACTAAATACCATAACGAGTGATTACTTAATAACTGTCAATTAGCGAAAAGCACAAAGCGAGCGGATAAAAGCGCGCCAGGACTCATTGTAAGCTCGTTTAAAAAACGGTTAATTTTATGTGAATAAAAATAAAGATTCAAATCAGAACTTCCAACATATGATATGATAAATTAAACTGAGACAATAACAATAAAACTAGAAAAAAATTTAATATAAATTAATTTTAAGAATAAACAAATAATTGTTTAATAACATTAAAAATAAATTAAAAAGAACTAAAGCAACAAAAATAAACGACTTACCAACTTCTTGCACGGTTGGTAACTTGTTGGTGGACTTGAAATGGACACGCCTACTATTTCCGCTGCCGCTCGGCGGGCTTTGTTGTACCGCCAAAGCCGCCGCATTGCCCATTGCTTGGGCTGGCAAAATGTTGGCGTTGGGCGACGCGTGATAGGACATTAGGGTAGCCGTGGGTGGGGATTGACTGAGTATGGGATTTGGTGAGCTGTGTTGCTGTTGATGGGCATGATGTGTTTGATGGTGTTGCTGTTGCTGTTGTTGTTGTTGTTGCTGCTGTTGTTGCATTTTCAAAGCAGGTGGCAAATAATTTCGATTCATACGCGATTCAACCTCACGTATAAGCTCAGGACTTATCACTGCGGCGGCGGCGGCGCAACGGTGGTGTAAAGCAAGATACGGAGGAGGTGGCGGAAGCAAAAGAGATGTGGAGGGATAAGGAATTTGGTGCAGGCGGGATTTATGCATATGTGGGAATGAGAGAATGTGTGTTTTGGTAAGGAAATGGCGGAGGATATACGGCATTTTTTGTTGTTGTTGGTTTTTAGTTGATTAAACAATTTACATGACATCCAAGCGAAAATTAAATAATATAATTTGTTTTGAATTTGATAAAAAAAAGTGGCATATAAAACGAAAAGAGAACAAACAAAAAGGAAAATATTAATAAAATCAAATAAAATAATTGTAAAAATTTAAAGTAATAAAGGAAGTAAATAAAACAAATATGTGTATATATATATACATACATACTCGTTAATTAATTAACATAAAAGTTCAACAATTCAAAAACTCCAATTCATTGTTAAAACATATAAAATTATAAAGAAAACATAATTAATTTAAATATATATATCTATATTTTTATATATATATAAACATATATACGACAGATATAAAGAGCTAGAAAATCCATAAGCCTCATTGCGACGCATAATTTTAATACATTTTGCTGAGGCATAAGCGAATCTGCGCATGCGCCTTACATGCCTTACATATTTACTGTTATATTAGCAGTTACAAAGCTCGGCGAATATAAAAATGTATGTAGAGATTTAATTTTTTTTTTGTTCAAACAAACCTGGTGGTCGTTCCGTCACTGTCAGCAGACCGGTACGACGTGTACGCATGCCGCCACCACCACCAACAGCTCCACCGGCACCGGCACCCGACTGTGGTGACAAGATGGTGGGTATTTGTGGTGTCATAGGCGGTTCATAGAAGCCACAAACGGGACATGTCTCGCCAGAGTGATGCTGTATTGACAGGTCTTCGGTGCAGCTTACGGTATGGCGCTTGCCACGTATTTGAATGTATCTGAAAAGTGAGAAGAATGATAACTTCTGTTTGTTTTTTTTTACTCAGCAAGAAGAATAGTGAAGGTAGCAACTATAAATTTCATTTCTTTCAATGCGCAAAGCGTCTGGTTTAATATTCTTTCGGTTTCTGACCGGTTTTTACGCGTGTCAATGGCTCTTATACTCGTACTCTTTACCTGCTATGTTGTTTTTGTAATTTTTTTTTTTGGAATATAGCGTACAGTCCTGGTCGTGATAAAAATCCTGGTCGGCTTGCTAAAATAAGCCGAACGTTGGGGAAACGACAGGTACTCGTAAGTTTAATCGCGGGTAAACTCTTAAATCACTATCACACTGCGCACTGGGCCTGTGCAGCCTCACGAGCATGTCTGTAACCCAGAAGATCAACTTGTGCTTCTCTTTCTATTGTAAAGTTGACAAGATATGAGGTAGAGCCCGATACCATATCTATGTGTGTTAAACGAATACGGATGACAAGACCGCTTCGAGCGACTGATGGATTTTTGTGTCCTAAACAGACACGGAGGTATCGACGACTTATGCCAAGGGCTTGCCGGATTTTTATTTTGATTGATGTTGGTTTTCTCATGATTGCAAAGCAAGACCCTCGAGCTAGTATAGATAGTATTTCGTAACTCTTTGCTAAAAAAAATCAATGTCAACTTGGGTGTGAAGTAGTAAAAGTCTCTCCCATATGGTCTGACCCATATATAGCGTACGCTTTTGAGAGCTGAGGGTACAAAATGATATCTCGGTTCCTCGTTATAGTTGCTTTGCAGCAGCTCTACCTCATTTTCGTTACTTACTTTTGTATTTCCTCGTTGTTCTCCTCACTGACCGCATCGCCAACACCTAACTGCGACAATTGCGTTTGATCAGCCATACCTCGAACCATAAGCCGATCCGTTGTATCGCAACCAACCAAGCCACCAGCAGTGGTTACATTCGGATTCATATAGTAAGCATTCGGATCCATTTGTTGCGCTTGACCCGCCACTTGATGCATATTGCTCCCCGTCGAAGGATAGTAAATGTGCAGGTTGGCACCACCGTCGGAAGCGCGTCGCCCAAATGAACCTAAAAAAGTAAAGGCAACAGATTACTTGAAATTTCTGGTAAATTCTTTTCGCACTTACTTGCGCCCATCACCATTGGCGGTTTCAAGAGATGCTGATCCTTAATGGTTAAGTTGTGCAGCGGTTGATTTTGCATCATTGGCAGGTTCATTGGCAAATATGGGCCGGTTTCGTCCTGTTTTTCCGGTGCACATTTGAAATTGATTGGAGGCACATTGGGATTAGCAAGTGCCTGCTCGTGTGCCACATCGCCAGGTCCGACAGTGTGACGCCGCGTATTTGCACCGTTTCCACCGGCATTGGCACTCAGGTGATTTTGATTTTGTGGCTAAAATAATGGAGAGACCAAAGAAAAATAAAAAAAAAAAAACAAATACAATAAATACTGTTATATGCTAAAAGCATATGCAACGGTATCCAACAGACCTCATTTGGCCGCGCCAGACATTCCAATTCGAAATCGCCGAATTTCTCCAAATCCACGGAAACATCTGTCCATTGAAAGCCTAAGCCACCTTGCAGTGCATTGGTGTTGGTGAGTGGGCTCAAACGATCGATTGATTCCTGTTTTATTGGTTCGGAACGATCGACCACACCAGTGGTTATGCTGGTTTTGCGCAACCTGCAAGTTGAAAGGGGATGGTATTAGAAGCAGTGGAAAGTGATGAGGAAGATAGAAGGATCTTCAGATATCCAGCATTTACTGAACTTAAGAACGGGCGCAAATGGGCATCAGACCTTTCTAATTAGGACATGCTCAAGTATCTTAGCCATATGGAAGTGATCATATTCGGTTAGTATAAAGCGAAAAATTCCCTCTGATTTTTGATCAGTATTAAGAGAAGGTTTGAAGCTCAAGAAAAGTACTGTAACTTTTTGTTTAATCATGCACCACCCTACGTCCAATCTCCCCTGCCATTCGATGTACACTTGAAATACCACCTACTCCCGAACATCCACTCCCTCCTACCCCTCCAAGCTTAGAAACTTTTAATAATGAAGAAATCAAATAGTTGGAGGAAGAAGAATTAGGCATCTTGCAGTAGAATGTGGAATGTATGACTCTGTGAGAGTGTGAAGGAACTGGAAAGCTCCCAGGAAAACTTCCAGCGCGGGTGGAGAGGATAATTACTAAACTAAATGTAGGGATATTGTTTGGAGAAAATTGTATGAATATTTCTGAATCCCTTCTGGCTGGGCTGGGAATCCCGTCTATTGTTGCTGGTGTTATCAGAGCTCCAAATCCCAAATTAGTGTTTGAGGAATGTTGAGTTAGCTACAGTTTCTGTCAAAATAAGAACACGTACACGCTCCGCTTCTTAAGGATGGCATGCCTTGCCACGGTTAAATTCTAGAAGCGATAACACACAGGGTGTTGGTCAAAACCTATAATTTGTATTGCTATTTCAAGACATATATACTACCTGAGTTTAAATCTATATGGTAACGGTGATAAATTAAAAAAGAAAATCAAAGAAATACCTTGAATAAGCCGCTTGATGTTGCATTCTATGATGTTCCCTTCGCTTTTGTTGTAATTTATCGGCAAGTAGATTATAAATGGCATAGATATTGTCGAAGCGTTGATTGTGCACCGACTCGGCAATCATATCGGCGGTCAGACCGGGCAATTGAAGCATGTTCCGCATGATCTCCGTATCCAGATTGGAAACGGTGGCTGGCGGTGTGTGCGTGTGAGTGCTAAAACTACTACTGCTATCACTCCGCGTTAGCGAACTACTATCGGAATGTTGTGCATATGCGGAGTGTGCGGCGATGTTACTGCTATTACTACTACTATTACCACTCTCAATACAATCATCGATTTCCGCCGACCATTCGCTTAGCCAACGATGTTTTATAATTTGTTTCAATGTATAACGTCGATCGGGCTCCACAACCAGCATATTACGCAATAGGTGTTCGCATTCTGATGAGAGAAATATTTTGCTGTGTATAAATTGCCAGCTATTGAAAGTGGGTATATAATTTACCTCTTGACATAAAATATGGTATACGAAATTTGCCTGTGACCACACGCCCTTTCAGCTCTAGCAAGGTGTCACCGTTGAAGGGTAGCGCGCCACATACCAGTGCGTACAAGACAACACCCAAACTCCAGATATCTGCCTTGGGTCCATCATATTCCAGCCCTTGGAATACTTCGGGTGCAGCATAGGGCGGTGAACCACACCATGTTGTCAGTGGACTGCCCTCTTCGTAACGATTGCTGAAACCGAAGTCGGCGAGCTGTTAAAAGTGAAAAGAGAGTAAAGTACAAGATTTAGGAATAAAATGTACTCGAATATATATGACATGGTTAGTAATCCTACCTTTATATTCATATCCTTATCAAGTAACACATTCTCCGCTTTGAGATCACGATGTACCACGCCCATCGAATGGCAATACTGCACGGCCGAGACTAGTTGTGTGAAAACGCGCGCCGCTTCGAGCTCTTTCATCGGTCCATTCTCCGCCAGATGATCGAATATCTCGCCGTTGGACGCATACTCGGTGACGAGATAGATCATTGTCTCTGATTGCATCACCTCATAGAGGCGAGTAATATGCGGATGGCGTAGTGATTTTAAAATGGAAATTTCGCGGAATGTTTTGGTTAGATACTCCCGATTGAGACATGTCTTATCGATAATTTTTATCGCTACCTGTAAGTGTAAAATTAAAGCGGATTTTAACAAAATATATTTTATACTATTTTTAATGCACGACTACAACAATAACAATAACCACTAACTGTAATTGAAAATTAAACAAAATAATATAGATAAAGAAATAAAAAAAAAATTAATTAAAATAAAATAAATAATTAAAATAAAATAAGAATTATATATATATATAATAATTGGCGCTTTGTAACCGCTGAAGCGATTTTCGGCCGAGCTTCTCATTCAGTTTGTGGTTTTGCGTCTTGGTTTTTTTCCGACAGATGGGGGGACCTACAGTTTATACTAAGGCTCCTCCGGACGGCTAATGGATTTTTATGAGGAGCCTTTATTTCATGGCCGAAACTCACTAGAAGGTGTGGACATTCCCTCCCGAGAGAACCGAAAATTAAAAATTTTGCTTAATTTTATTAAAATTTATTTTTTATAACTTGGATATGAGTACGGCACCAGAATTTGAGACCGAGCTTTACAAATGGCGATACGCAATGCTACCCAAAATATAAATAATCATTAAAAACACTAAATCAAATAAAATTAAAAAAAAAATTAACTTAAATAAAGTAAGCCAAAAAAAAATAAAATAAAATAAAATAAAATAAAATAAAATAAAATAAAATAAAATAAAATAAAATAAAATAAAATAAAATAAAATAAAATTAAATTAAATAGAATAATATAAAGTACAATAAAAAAATATTAAAATAAAATAAAATAAAATAAAATGTAATAAAATAAATTGAAAAAAAAACAAAACAAATAATGTAAAAAGAATTAAATCAAATAAAATGCAATAAGATGAAACGAAGTAAAATGGAATAAATAAAATAAGTTAAAATAATAAAAGCAAATTAATTAAAAGAAACCAAAAAAGTGATAAAATAAATAAAAAAAAAACTATAAAAAAAGAAAAATATAAAATAAAAAACAAGATAAAATAAAAAATATAAAAAACAAAGCAAAATCAATTGTAATAAGATAAAGCATTATAAAAAAAAACAAGGTAGTTCCACTCAAATTTTTTATGTTTTCAAAAATATTAACTCTCTGGCATAAAAAGATTTTTCGTCTTTTGCTTTATTTTGGGGCTAAAAATTTCATTTATTAAAAAAAATAAATTTTCAACTTTCTAAAATTAAAAAAATTATATTTCAAAACTTGTTAAACATTTGATAGTAAACAAAAAAATAAGAAAAGTAAAATATACTGACAACAAATTTAATTTAATGCCCTTTCAGGCGCCTGAAATTTTTTTCACGAAAATATTTATTATATATTTTCAAAGTGGCAATGTTTTGAAGTTAAAATGAAAATAAGATGTGATGTCAAAGAATTTTTTTCTGTCAATCTTATATTGAGTTATACTACCTTCCTTTGTTGGATCATGAGATAGAGATAAAATAAAGTAAACTATAAAGGTATAATAAAAAATGGCATAAAAGAGATAAAATATATGAAAAGAAAAAATAAATTAAATTAAAATAAAAAGTACATAGAAAAAAATAACAAAATAAAAAGAATAATTATTCCAATAGAGAATAAATTAAATAAAAAAGGGAGAAAAAGAATAAAACAATATAGAGAGGCATATAGAATGACAAAATAAAATGAAAAATATAAATTAAAATTGAAAATAAAAGAAGAAATAATAATAAAAATCATATATAACAAAATGAAATCAAATCAAAAAATAAAACTGAACAAAATATTTGAAGTGAGATGTGGCAATGCAGCAATAATCAATTATAGAGGTGAACGAACGTTCGAGCTTGAAAAATAATCTATGCAACGCTCGTCATATTGAGGAAGGAAAATTGAAAATATTTGCTGACGCGACTAAAATTATACACATACTTATATATGTATGTATGATTACACAAATAAATACTTATACATATACTATGTATGTTTGTAATAAATATGTATTTATTTGTTTATATTAAATTGTTCATTCTTGTATTTTTGAAAAACAATAATTTGTGTACGATAGTTGATTTTAATTTCTCATTTCATTTTCATATATTATATTATTGTTAGTGTTCAACGGCCTGTCGCTAATTCAAGCAAAATACCCGCCTCCCTCGACTGCTTGCAATAAACCACTGACCGTTAGCTGTTTTTCGCCAGAACACACATTCGCAATTTTAGTTGATTGACTGGCAAATTGACAATGATATGTACATACATATTTATATATATATATGTACATATGTATGTAGTATGTTTGTACATTTCGAGTGCATAAAAATATTTGTTTTCCTCTTTGTATTTGTTTTTGTTTTTGAAAATACAATATAAAGAAAATCAACATATTCATACGACTTTTCACCGTCAATGACTGTTTTATTGTGTTCACGGCCTTGTCGAGTCTTTCTGCACACGCTCGGCTATGATGAATCGGGGTAAGAGTATGGTGGGCAAACGACTGGCCAATGGACTGTCTAATATTGCATGTGTATATGAATATTTCCTTAAGACAAGTGTAATATGACTATTGTCAAGTTATTATTTTCTATTTTGCGCTTTTTTCATGTTATGGTTTTCTTTTTTCTTGTTATTCATCAATTCCAAGGACGACGATGATTTTAAAAAGCCATATCTCATCTGAACAGCTGTGCAACTGATAAATAGTTTATTTTCGTACATATACAATATTTAAAAAAAATTTGTATTTATAAATACATGAATTTAGTATTAGTAAAATGTCACGAAAAGTGTTGATTGAGTTGGGGAGGCCTTGACAGTTTTTTAAAGGAAAAATAAATAAAATTAAAAAACTCAAATAAAAATTAATAAGAAATAAAATGAAAAACCAAATAAAATAAAGTAAAATTAAATAAAATAAAAAATTAAATTAATTAAAAACAAATAAAAATAAATAAAAAATAATTTAAATAAAAAAAATAAAATATAACTTTAATAAAAAACAATAACTTAAATAAAAAAGAATAAAAAATAACCTAAATAAAAAAATTAAAAAAAAAATAATATAAAAAAAAAATAAAAAATAAAAATAACTAAAATAAATTAAAACAAAATAAAAGAAAATTTAAGTAAAGTAAAATAAAGTAAATTGAAATGAAACAAAATAAAATAAAATAAAAAAGAAATAAATAAATAATATGTGCTAGATAAAGTAGATATATTAAAAGAAAAAAGAAAATAAAAAAATGAATAAAAAAAAAATGAAATTAATAAAAATAAAAAAGAATTTAATAAAAATAAATTAAAACAGAATAAATTAAATTGAAATAAAAAGGAAATAAATAAATAATAAATGCTACATAAGGTGGATATATTATTTAAATATTTTGAAAGCGAAAATTGTTTTAAAAATCCTAATGAATAAAATAAATTTCACATTCCATTTTAAATATTAAGTTAATTTCGCCTAAAAGTATGCACTGCATATACATATAATGCACATAGCCATCAGTTAAATGTGGAGAACCAAAAAAAGTTATTTTGTTTTTAAATTAGGCAATTTAATTATGGTAATTCAGCGATCGCAATAGCTAAGTGGTTAGCAGTGCATACTACCATTCATAAGAGCTCAGTTCGAATCCTGGTTCTCCGAACTACAACTAATATTAAAAAAAATTTATTTTTCGAAATTGTGATCGGCCGTCGGTAAGGAATGCCAACCCGTCCGAGTGTATTTCTAATAAAAATCCAACGGCCGTTCTGTGCCAGCTTAGAATAAATTGTAGGTTCCTCAAATTTTTGTGGGCAAAGATCTAGACTCAAACCACAAATTAGATCAGAAAATCGGCCGAAAATCGTTTCAGTGGTTACATAGCGCAAAATATATTTATTTATATAATATTTAAATCAAAAGCAATTATAACTACAACTACTGCGTTCTTCGATAATTACTGTCGTGTCGTAATAATGAATTGAGGACAATATTAAATTTTATATTTATTATTACGATTTCATGGCTTACTTTATCATAAGGATTCGGTTTTTTCCTATTAATGGAAATCAATTTCGAAAGGAGAAATAAATTTTTCTGAAAAATGTGCGTTTTCGGATTATTTAATTGTTTTATTACCAAGCCGCACACCTGTTTTATAACATAACCAAACTCCAACCAAAAAACTCCAAAATCATTTAATTACATGCTACAAGTTCCAATTTCTAAAAACTACTTTCGGATTCAGACTCAGGACATCAAAAACCTATGGGATAATATAAGTGATACCACAAGTTCGGGTCGCCCAGAAGAATTCGTCAGAAATGTCGATAAATTCCATGAGATGGAATGAGACGAGCAGAGAGAAAGTACCTACTGTAGCTGAGTTCACAATTTACAATTTACATCGATATTTGTACACGATTTTAGGCTACGAGCCACTGTAAACGCTACCGTGTAACCGTCTGCTGATGTTCAGCCGCAATCTAAATGAATTCTTGCGCCGTTTCATTTTACCGTAGATGAAACATAGATCCATTATAACACCTCAGAAACCAAGTCGAGAGATTGCCAAGCGCAATTATTACCTTTATAGGGTTACAACTTTCACCGGGCAATATAATTGAGAGCTTCTTTCACCTCGTCTGAAATAAGTCCTTGACAATTCTGATTGCGCTTCCGGTGTTTTCTAGCGTCAGTTTGCACAACCATATATGTTTTGCGGGGATACCCAATTAAGACATAGCGGCGAAGATGCAGCTCGTTTCCGTGCTGTCGAAGGCTGCTTTAATCGACGAATACTTGGGTGTCGATTTTTTTTTCACGGCTCTTTTCAAGATTTGGCGCGTGGTGAATATCTGTTCAATCATTGACTTACCAGGTCTGATAAGGTTAAATCGGTTTGTTGACGATGGGCTTTAGTCTTTCACCCAAAACGCTCGATAGGACCTTATATGCGTTGTTAAGGAAGCTTATCTCACGGTAGTTGGCGCAGACTGTGGGATCGCACTTTTTTGTGGTTAGGCCAGAGTACACTTAGGTTCCAATGTTGTTGTTGTTGTGGTAG